AAGAAAAATTTTTGTCATATTCGATTTGAAAGTGAAATGTTTGTTGATGCTGCCATCTTCCTTTCAGGTATAACCTGTCAGTCATTACTGATTACAAATCTAAGAGGGACTTTTTTTTGTACTGAGCTAATCATGATTGATATTGATAAAGAAATGTCCATAAGAAAAGTTCAATATTTAGATTTTTTTATTAATTTTGTGTAAAAGTTTTTGAATGTGTATTAAGCTAATCCCTAAAAATGTAATTACAAGGCAAGTTATAAGCTTTGTTATAGTACAAAATATTAATTGTGTATCATCTAAATACTAACTCATCTATGTAACAGAATTATATCAACTAACTTGAGTATAGATATGTTCAGTGGAGGTTAATGTCTTTTATGATTGTAAACGTGGGTGATTAGAATAACTGTGAAAAATATCTTTAATTTTTAGTTCGGTAAATGAGTTCAATGTCTTTTGTATTTTTTATTTGTGTGTGTGAAGCCTTTACAGAACAGCTAATGTATGATTTAGTTGCTAAATATGTGTAAAAATTGTGTAATATTAAATTAAGTGTAGTTTTCAATACTCAAAATATCTTTATAGTAGTAAAAGGTTAACATATATCTAGCTTACATTTACTAGCTTGAAACAGATACCCAGATGTTAAGTTAATGTGATTTAATAATATAATTGTTATTGTTAACACAATACAGGTTTCTTACACTGTATCATATTTATACCTTTCTTAGAGTGTGAAGCTAATAAAATGGTTGATTCAAAGTTATAAGCATTGTGTAACTGTTAAGAATAATAATCTGTTGTATTCATATTGGAAAGATAGTCTCAGGTCAGTGGTTTTTGTTTGGTTGAAAATAAATTTACTATGTTTGTTGTGCCTAAATAGTTTTATTTTGCTGCTTAACTTTGGAGATCAAAAGAAAGTAACTTAAATAAGTATGTACACATATTTTATTTAATGGTAGATGAATGTGTGAAATTGCACATTGTATTCTTAGGATTGCTTGTTCTCAAAAGAACAACTAAAAATTTAGTAGTGAGCTGAATGAGAATAAGTGGTCTTAATAAAACTCCTACAGCATACAGGTATTATTTGATTCCTAAAAAAACTGTGATATGCATTTAACATACAGTTTTCTCATTTAGGCTATCGAATGAAACTTGAAGACAAAGATGATGCTCCAAATACTGGACGAATTCATGTAGATTTTGCACAGGCTAGAGATGACCAATATGAATGGGAATGTCATCAACGTGCAATTCATCGAGAATATCGTCATAGGGAACGTGTAGAGCAAGAAATGTTTCATCCACCAAGTCCACCTCCTGTTGTACATTATTCAGATCATGAGGCTTCTCTTCTTCATGAGCAACTGCGTGGTAAAGGTTTTTTACAGTGTCAACTATAATTTGACCCTTTGTTTAGTTACTATAGACAAACTGTACATAAAAATTTTAATATTTGTGGCATTTAACTCTCTCAACATGGGATCTGTTGATTTGACCAACTACATGACCTCTTTGTACTTGTTTAAAGTATTTATAATTTTGATACTACTAACTTTTAATATAGTATGTATATCTTCACAAAATTTGGTACACTTTCAGTAAAGTCTTTCACATACAAAAAACCTTATTTTTAGTGAAGTTTCTGAATAAACTAAAAAAATATTTGTTTGTGAATATATCAAATATTTTTTTTTACCAGCTCGAGTGCAATGTGATTTTCATGTTGAAGATTAAAAATACTTTTCTTCCTCTGAAGAATCTAAAATTTTATTTGCGTAACCTCTAAAACCTCCTAAATACATTTCAAATGTTTGTTTTCAGTAAAACTGTGTATTTTATCTGTTATTTTCTTTACCCTAACTCTGTTCAAGGTTGGTCAATTTGACTGACCTTGTAACCACCAAAAAAAGTCAAAATAACTCTAAATTACCCTTTTTTCTTTCTCGAATGACTTCAAATTGTAACATGAAACGACATTCATTTATCCTATCATTAAACTCATAACAGTATACATCTATTTATACTTAAATTTTATTGTTTTATTGCCATTTTAACTGTGTCTAACTACTATTTGTGCCATTATATGTTGTAAATCACTTGGGTAACATGGAGCTCATGTTACGCTATTGAATTACATTACCCACAAGCTGCTTGTGTGTGTGTGCCTTGTGAAACATTTTTATTATATTATTATTTATTTTACCTAATCTAACCTAAAGAGATCCCTATTTTTACATTTGAGTTACTTTTATAATAATAAATAAAAGATAAACATGAAAAACAAGAAATAAAGTACTTACCAGGTCTTCTTTTTTCTTGCTGTCTACTGTCGATGACATTAACCCTACTTTTTGTTATACTAATGGTAGTAATTCACTAAATAATTTTTATTTAATTAAATAATGCACCAAAGAACATAGAATAATAACATGCAAAAAGTAGACAATTTCCCCTAACTATAAAAAATTTTCTGGCTTTCTAACTATGTGGCAAGAGCCATTACAAATTCATCCAAGCTAGTCGTTGTCTTTCCTGTGGGAACGAAGCTTGTACTAACAGAGAAATTGACAATTCTTTGTTCAAAAAACAACATAATATAATACGTCATTTGATAGATGAAAACCTTGGCTTTCTATTGGTTATACACAATATAGAATTAAATGTAAGAGACAACTATTAACAAATCCTGAAAAAGAGGATCTGATAGGTGGGTGTGGCAAGAGGGATCTGATTTTCTATTTGATGGCTCTGTAACCAAACACAATTAAAAGCTATAAAAATTATGGTTTGTCTGAGCAATGAGTATTTTATAGTAAGTAATTTACATTGAATTTCATACTTATTGGAAGGGTGGTGAATAAAATAGAGAAGATGGGATGCCTACAAAAAATTTGTCACATTTCTCACACTAGGGGAAATTCAGGATTTTTTTAAATATTATCTTATAAAATTAAGAACTTAAAACTTGTATACTATTAAAATATGGATTATTTGCTATGATTTTATGCTATACTAATTGGTATAACATAAAAAAAGTAGTTTAATAAAATTTTGAATGTAAGTCACTAAAACCTCCTGACATGCACAGTAAATGATGCCTGGGCAGAGAGGGTTAAGCAGTGTTTGTCACTTTAACATTGTTTTGTTTTGCTTAAAGAATAGTATATATATTTTATGAATACCATATTTATGTGCTTGAATGTTTTGGAAATGAGTGAGATGTCTTCTACTGTGTGATTTATAGTTTGAATCAGCATTTTAGTTAACGAATATTGCAATCTATATATGTATTGTCATAAAATTATGTTATGGTAACAATATGATCTAATTACAGAGTAAATGCATGTAATGGTTTTAATTCTTTTTTTTTTAATTTCCTTGACTGATAAGTTTAATGTGCATATGGTGAACTTACAATTGGCTAGAATACAAACTTAGTTTTATAAAGTTTAATTTTGGTTTAGGTGATGAAACTTTCCAGAAGGCAGTGCAAGTGCTAATTACATGGCTGGAGAGGGGAGAGTGTAATAAACGTAACTGTGGTCAGTTTTACTCCATGATCCAATGCACCAATAGTCATGTTCGCAGGCTTATGAATGAGAAAATGCAGTTTGAAGAAGAGTTGGCAAAAGCCAAGCAGTTGTTGAACCAGGGCATTCAAAACATCCTTACCCAGTGTAAGTTTACAACTAGATTTGACTTTGCATTTTTGGCTCTGTTTTCTTAATAAATATATTAGTAGTTTAGATTCACTTGAATGTAAGTAACTTTGCCTTGATTATCTCACACATACGAACATTTGTTTGATTGAAACTGTACTTTTGTTTATACATTAAATAACTCAGTCCCTGTGTACAACTTACATGCAAATTTCAAGAACACTGAATGTAAGATGTTTATAAATGTAACATTTTTATTTCAAATTCTAGGCACGTTCTTTATAACAAATTCGACATACTCGATGTACAATATGCATTTGCTTCTCTATATTCCTGACTTAAATGCTTGGTAAATATCAAAATGAGATAAAAAAATTCTCTTAAGTTTTTATACTACAACATATGTTAAAAATATCATATATTTTTCATCAGAGTTGATTCCAAAAACATTTTCTTCAGCTTCATACTTATTTTCATGCACCTATTCTGTCAATGAAGTGTCAGTAGTTTTAATGGATATGTATTAAATGTTTTAACTTTTTTCAAAGAAAGATTAATATTGGTCAAAACTGACTGTTATAGTTTTGTTTACATTATGAATAATCAGTCAATTTTTTGTCTTTGTAATACATTTGTTTAATTTTTTATGATGAACTTTTAACAAATTATCGTCTTGTTTGGTCGACTTGATCGATAGTATGGTTCTTTATGCGTTTCTTATTCATCCACAAGGCTGCATTGCTACATTATGTAATATTCTGAATATTTAACTTCATAAAAAAGAAAACACGTTGTGAAATTAAAATCTGGATAAAACAACTAAATATAGATATGTTGAAAAATGTATGAATTTACTTTTCTGCCAAATTAATTTAACATTGAGTCAAATTAAGTTTTTGAAATGGGTGTTAAATTATTTTAATGTGATATTGCTGTGTATGTTTTTTTGTGGGTTTTCTTCCAACTTTTATATAGCTCACATTTTATGAAAATGTTTATCTAACCCTATGTACACAGGGTCAGTCCATTTGACAAACAGTATCATCATATTTGGCTTCCAAACATAAGCCAATTAAGTTGCCGAGACACTGCAAGCTTATCCACATACTTCCAACTTGGCATGCATAATATAGGCATACAGCAATTAATATGCTTGTTCTGATCTCCTCATTGAGAGTATATATCAATACTAATTACACACATTAGTTGTTACAGAAAGTTTGTGTTAAAACACAGAAAAAGTTGAATGTCTATTGTGTAATATATATATATATATATATAT